CTGCTGCCTGGCTCTCAGTTAGTTCCTCCTGCTGGGAAGTCTCCCTGCCTCAAAAAGCCAACTTCCAAGCAGCACCCCCACCCCCCGAAGGCATTTTTACAGTAAGCCAACAGGATTTTCCCGTATGAAGAATTTTTAAACCGAGTGCCAGGTATAGTGATCCTACCAGAGGCAACAAATACACCCCTGCACTCAGGTTACTTAGCATAACCTGTGCCATGCAAAACCATCTTTTCCACTGCTGGATCCTGGATCCCTCTCCAGTGTTAAGAGAGCTCCCTCAAGCTCCGCAGAATTAGGGCAGATGGTTCACACCTGCAGCCACCGCTCCTCTGTGCTGCCCCACCAGCCAAGCCACCGAAACCAGGCCCTGGCTGGGATCCCTCCAGAGCTGTTTGGATAGCTGGGCTAATTCATCAGCCAGCTCTTACTCAGAAATAAGCCTGCCCCGAAGCTGATCAACCAGATCCAGTCGTACCTCGCTGGCTAGGAAGTAACCGCAGGCTCCCTCAGTAAGCCAGGGAAGCCAGCACGCTGCTGGGACGTCACAGGAGAGGGGCCGGGTGAGCGGCCGCCTGTTGCGGCTTCACCACCACCTTCTACAGCAATGCCAGAACACTCCACCACCGACCTATTTTCGGTTGTTTCCCCGACTCCCCATCTGCAAGCGTGACAGCGTTACCCACTCGTCTCTAAGCGTGCTTAGGTCTCTTGCCGTGGCCTCAGCTCCTGATCCAAACCACCCGCTCCAGCCAGCCATCGCGGAGTCATCCTTTCTAAGCCATGCCCAGTGAACCAATTTCTGTGGGAATTTCTTTTTCATACCTCTGCTATAACTGACCTCTCCAACCGCACCTGTAGACATTTGCTCCGCAGCTTCACCGGCCCATCTTCCTCCCATAAGGAGCCTCTACTAAGAAACAAGTTTTCAACAGGTTTCCAGCAAAAGTGTTTTTTTCCAGGCCATTTGCAGTATGCACGTGCCACAGACTTACTTACAGTTTGGCGTACAGAATAAAGCTGTGGCCATTTGCAGTATGCACGTGCCACAGACTTACAGTCTGGCGTACAGAATAAAGCTGCAATCCCAAACACCTGAGCGGGGCTGGCCAAGGGCAGCAAATATCCCTTAATTCACTGGGAGATGGAGGAGATGGTGCTGCGAGCGAGCTACGGCAGCAAATGCCTGCTGTGACTCCCCAGGCACCACCTGGCCAGGTCTCCAACACAGCGACTGCGAGAACCCCTCTCTCAAACACCAGGGCTTGCTCAGGACTAGCTTAGCTCCAGCTAACACTAACGAACCGTAACCCGGTTAGCTTCCTGTATGTGAGCAATTAAAGAAAGCACTGTTTAAAGAGCACGTGGCACTTTCTTTACGGCTGTTCACTGCCCCCCTGAAACGCACACTGATCTTCTCCAGGAAGCAAGAAATACCCGGCTCCCCGGTCTGTTACAGAGAGGCAAACACTGGGAAGCCTCAGGACCAGAATAACATGAGAATCCCAGCCAGGTAAAACAGCTCCCCTCTTTTAATTCAAGACGCGTCTAATGAAATACCAGCTACACTTTTGGTGAGCTTGACATTTCCAATCAGTTCGGTGAAAGGGCTGTCGGACCACACGGTCCCTTACCTGTGTCTAGAATTCCCATGGAAGCTCCAATAACTGACATCAAGACGGTTAACAGCAGGGATTTCTTACACCAGGGTATCCCATAAAGACCAACCATTGTTCCAGACATGGATAGTGCTGGAAAAGTGGAAAAACAAAACAAACAAAAAACCCGCAGATACTACAGTTGCCCTTTAAACTACAAAACGTACAGAAGACCACAAAATACAATTGCATTCATCATTATTACCGTTACAGGTAATCCTAAGAGGTGGTGTAACCCCATTACCTCAATTCATGATTAGCAGAGAGAGCTAGAAAGTTCAGAGTCATTTTTCACTTGGAAAAAAGGAATTTCATCAGAATCTAAACACAAGGTAAAGAACCTGTTTTGCTAAAGCTCTGTTTGCAAAGGGAGCGGCACCCGCTGCTGGAGCACTAAGAAGCCGCCTTCTGCAAACTTCTGCTTGAGAAGTGCCATTTCAGTATCTCCTGCCAATTTTTGATCTAGAAATGTTACTTTACCACAAAATAATAAAACGTGGTTTTGAACGGTGTGAAGTTTTCTCTCTAGGAACTACAGAGCATTAAATTTGGCTCCATTTTAAAAGAACCCAAATCACTAAACTCTTAAAATCCTGTAAAGTGATTGCACCTTGGCCAACAAGGCACCTCCGCGTGAAAACACTTGACTTTCATTTATATCCTGGCCTCACATGAGGGATGCGTTCCAAGGGATTTCTGGAGTTTTCAGAGACAGAACTCCAAAACTTCCCACCATAAACGTAGCGGCCATTCATTAACTGTATTAGTTTTGCTATTATTAACCAGGCTTACAACGTGCCATTTCAAAAAATCCTTTTTGGCAGGTGGAAATTATTTTTATTACAATTTGGGAGGAAGTTCAGCAGTTAAATTCTATACTTATAATCACCTTCATAATAAAATAATCTGCAATTAATATCTTGAATATACAGCGTTAGGTTTTTAGACAGCTTGTGCCGGTTCAGACATCTCTATTAATTTTTCAAATCAATGCCTGATCATAGGTAGAGCAGATACTTAAAGATCGATGGGGAGTAATGTAATTAAGAACTTAGGTTAATTGGAAACAAAACCAACAACAACAGAAAAAATAAATATCCAGAACCCTACAGCCCTAGTGATATACTTGGAATACCTGCCCCAAAACATTTTGGAGGGCTAGCACGCTGAGCTGCACAGAGAAAAAGCTGAAGACGGGGTGTATTAAGTACGGCCTCTCTCAGATGCCCCACTCCTTGGGAGCTGAAAAGGAACCTCTCGGCAAGTTCTCAGTTGTCCACTTCCACTCTTCACATGAAGACTGGTACTTAAAAGCTTCCCTGACAAAGGCAGAGTACGTCTTCAATTTTTCCTCTGTACAATAGCAGACTTTCAGCAGTTGAAAGATGGGAGGTAAAACTACATGAAATCTCTTACAGGCAGCCTTCAGGTGACAGGAACGAGAGAGGAAAAAACTGTGCTTTCGCCATAAGCGCTACCAAATTGGAAAGGATTAGGATATGAATCATTGACAGTCAGCTGCCTTGTCTGACGCTGCCTTGTCTGTCTCAGGAAAAGAAGCAAACACTAAACTATTTCAAGTTAACGCTCACTTCCACAGGTGTATTAATTCCATTACGGAAGGCAAAAGTCTCAAATGTCAGACACGGACAACACTGACCTTGTCAGACGTCTGAGGAGGCTAAAGGAAACCCACTTACAGGTGTTCGGGAAGAGAGGAATAAGGAACAGGGAGGAGACCAACTAAAGACATCTTAGAACAAGGGCAAATAAGAACTGATCCAGGAAGATGAAGAAGAGGTGGAGAAAGCAAATAGAAAACAAAAACAAAAAAAAAAAAAGAGAGAAGAGACAGACAGACATTATATGACATGATGGCTCCTGACAGCAGGAGACAGGGATACGGGGTAAGAAGAGAATTTGTTCAAATGCTAGCAATGGAAAATGGATCTTCTTGTATTCTCTGAACTGACCCTGTGGCCCTCAGGGGAGGCACAGCTCTGTCTGAATCTCCCTAAGTAAAAGTATGGGCAGAGCGAGCCCTGGTACCTGCTCCAGTCCCTAACTTAGGGCATGAAGGCCCATACGGCTGCTCCTGCATTTGAAAGAAAAAAAAGGCAAGACAGGGCTTCTGCTATTTTAGGTGTGCTCCGAGAATCTACCCCAACAAGACGCTAACACGACTCTGAAAGGAGCACCTCATTTCTGGATGCTGAGCGTGGCTCTTGGTGACCCGACGGCCAAGGAGCCCCGCTCTGCCAGGACAAAGGCGGTCCGGTGCTCCTACAGGAGAGAGCTTCCACGTGTCCAGAAAACCCCTGAGGTAATAAACTGCGGTCCTATAGCGTTTAAGCATTTCCATAGCTAGGCGGCAACTGAGCAGCAAGTTTCCACCATCACAGGTGATATTTAATGTTTTTTCCACTTTAAGTTCTAATTGGGTTAGGGCCTTCTGGTCAAAACCTCCGTACTTTTGTCCAGTACACGAGGACGACCGCTTCTGCTGAGCTTCAAGCAAAGTTCTCCCCACAGAAGCGCACCCTCAGCACAACTGCTGGAGGTTTCTGCTGCGTGCAAAATAAAGCCGAAACTCAGCTTCCCCTGTTCTCTTCGTGCATTTCACAGAGTGACATTACACAGGCCTGTAGGTGCCAGGAGGATCTACGTTAAGCACCTCTCCTATGAGGACAGGCTGAGGGAGTTGGGCTTGTTCAGCCTGGAGAAGAGAA